TTGAAACTGATGTGATGGCAGTTCACAACAACATGGGGCTCATGGAGAAATGTACATCGCAAGGAAGATCTTGATGACCAATGAAAGATTCCTTGTCACCGAGATAGTGCTCTGTTCTCTAGAAGCTCAGAAGATTGACAGGTGTGACTTCATTTACATCAAAATCATGACATCAAACTTGTCAGAAACCCAATAAAACTCTCAGAAAGTCATCCACACAACAAGTCTCTCAGTGCATGAAAGTGTCCCCTGAAGTCCATGCTATGCTGATGGCACTTAGAGAGGCCCAAGGCTTATTTTTAGGAGTTCTGATAGCGTAGTGGTTACGAATTGGGCTGCGAACCGCAAGGTCTGCAGTTCGAAACGACCAGCTGCTCCGTGGGAGAAAGATGAGGCGATCTGCTTCCGTAAAGATTTACAGCCTCGGAAACCTTGTTCAGGGTCGCTATGGGTCGAAACCGACTCGACTGCACTTAACAACAACAACAACAACAAGGCTTATTTTATTCACAAGAGAAATGAAAGCTGAGTTCAGTGCACAGAGCTTTGTATTAGGGGAATCCTGGATGCATGAGCTCTATATAGAAGGGGACCATGCCTTTTATTTTACAGGGCGTTCCGATTGCTCATTCCAGATAAGCCAGCACAGCTGATGAGTAAAATATTTTTGGTCACTAAAGGAATAAAAAAAAAAAGAAAGATGCCATTCATACCGACTGAAGCCAGATTTCTCAAGGTTTCCATCATCACGTCTCTGTAGAGTTTCCTCTGAGCAGGATCAAGCAAATCCCACTCTTCGTGCGTGAAGACCACAGCCACATCTTCTATGATCACTTTACCCTAAAACATCCCACACAGTCTCGGTCAGCAAGGCTGCACTTATGCCAACATGTCTTAAAACAAAAGGTGAGGCTGCCATTCCTGGGACCCTTAGAATCCACAGGTACATAACACCAGGTTCTGTGCTCTCGCGAGATCTGCTCAAAAAACATCGACTGGCTTCCTCCCTTCACTGCCTACATTCACTAACTCACTGACTGCATCTTGTCACAAAAACTCCGCTCACCCAGAAATAGACTCTCCAAAATTTTACTGTGAACGACAGCAGTCTATCCCTCTCTGTGTATGGTCTACAACAATTATAAAATACACCAGAAATGAGAGAGATGATCAGATCACATTCCTGTTGTGAATAAGCCATTCTATCTCCTTCCATAGACCAGAGGGATCCTCCACAATCAGGAAGCACTAGGTGGAGCAGGGGAGACCCTAACAACTCAGAGACAGTGCAGAAAGGCAGTCCTTCAGCACTGACCTTATGAGATGGAATGAGTCAGAACACAAACACCCATGTGTAAGGCTTTATTGGAGGTAGGGAGGAAAGAGAGAAAGAGTATGGCTGGGGGAAGGACTTTTATACTAGTCAAAGAGGAGGGCGAGATTGAGATTAGTGGAGGTAAGTGATAGGTTGACTAAAGATGCCCTGCAGGTAGGGAGAGAGGAAGCTCCAGTTGGTTAGAAGAGAGGGTCCAGGAGGGAGAGCGAAAGCATGGCAAGCAGCCATTTTACTATGCACGTGGATGAGAGGTTCTATCAGAGCTGACCTCACAAGGATTCACGTCCAGATTTCCCCACTGAAGAGGACGGACACCTCAGTTATCTACGATGCCAAACCCATCACGTTCCAGTGAATTCGGACTCATCACACCCTTATATTTCCATGTGCCACCGAGTAGGTCGCACCCATATCGATCCTCCATCGGGTTTCTTGGGAGCGGCTGGTGGGCTTGAACCGCCGACCCTGAGGACAGCGGTGCAGTGCTGATCCCAGGACGCCCATGGACTCACCATTCCCGCGCTCCACCTTC